GAACCAGAAAGCAAAAGAGCTGCCTCTCTCGGGCTCGGAGCTGCTCAGGCACAGTTCTGTTTCAGCAGGCACAGAATCAGAGCAAATGCTTCTCCACCAGGAAAAGCCACGTGAGCAGACACCAACACGATGGAGGCTGCCAGCTGCCCATCTCCAACCAAGCCCAGCCCAATGGCAATGCTAAGAGATCAGCTACAGAGTCAGCCTCCCACACCCCCGTGGGTGCTAGGGGAAGAGAAAAAAGAGGTAGCAGGGAAGAGGTTTAAGTCACGTGAGAAAGAGTGACGTTTCACATGTCCAATGTCCCTCGACAGCCAGCCCGACACGGCTCTGCCAGGCTTAGGGCAATGAAGCACCCCTCCTTCAGGTGTGCTAATGCTGCCTGAGGGCTGAGGCTGCAGCCACACAGTCCCTTTCATCTGGAATGTCTGCAGCCATTGCCCCTGTCCTAAGCCTGCTCCTCAGAGCTGCTACATTCATTGCTTGAGCGACAAGGTCTCCAAGTTGGCAACAACCTGTATACCCAGATCTAAAAATAGAGACACAGACAGGGACCTTAGAGAAATAAATATGACTCACTTTTTACTTGGAGCACATACTATGGAACAGCCAGGGGGAGATTTTTTTTTTTAACTCTGCAAATTAAAGGTGGGTTGAATTTTCAAAGTTCTGCCCCTCTTCAAGACTAGCTTGACAAATACAGAAGCCCTTGCAGAAAAGTTTAGCAGAGTTTGTGAGTGTTTTTATTTTTCTCTTACTTTTCTTAAACAACTAACTCTCAGACTTCTTATGGGGAAAAAAAGCAAACCACAGAAAATTCCTGGTAACCCTAAACTTTCATTTGCCATTTATCACAGCATCCCCCCACGGCCTCCGATGTTCTGGACACTCAGAAGACAAAAGATCCCAGAGAACTGCCAGAAATCATTTCACAAGTGCTTTCCCATATTCTTTCATTTAATTGCTCTTCACCACCACCCCCCTTCACCCCACCAGAGGCTACGAACTTCCCCTCTTGCTCCTCACAAGCAATGAAGGGCAGGGCCAGGCCCTGAACCTATGTTCAGTTATCTTGGAAGCTCCTCAAATCACCTACGATAATCAGCATCAAGACCCCAAAAAGAGTCACATCAGAAAAGTCCACAGGCCTTGGTACAGCTAGGTAAAGCTGCTGCAGGTTAAGTTGCAGATCTCCAAAACCATTCTACTTCCCTTCTACTTTCCTTTGGATGACTGCAATGGAAACCAAAACTTTATCTCTACTTCCTCAGCCTTCAACTGTTTTAGCAGCACAATTTCAGCACTAAAGGGGCTGTGTGGGGCCCTCTTCCTCTCTTCTGATATTTCTCTGTAGCATCCATAAAACACATGTGAATGCACGTGTGCACCGTCTCACACACACACACACACACACACACACACACACACACACACACCTCTCTTTAAGAGCCAGGACCAAAGGAGAAGAAGGGGAGGGGGCAGCCAGGATGGGATCGCCCCAGATCAATGGATATTTGAAACTCAAACACATGGTCCAGGACCTACACTGCACGTGTTAATTACCACACATGTGCCCATAAAGGAGTCCGTTAAACACAAGGGGCCCAAAGAACAGAGTGAGGAAAGGACATTCCAAGGGATTAAGTAAATAGTCTGAAGTTTTGACCCTACTCCCCTCCTGGAACACGTGCATCTGGGTAAGATAACAGTGCCTCCCCCTCCTTCCCCCACTTCTTCCCTGGGGCCCCACACCTGCAGACCCAGGAGCCACAGCCACCCAGGCCTCCTGTCTTGGGCCAAACGGCTGTGACCTGCTACCACCCAGCCTCTCTCTCTCCTCCCTTCCTCCTGCTATCTGTCTGGGCCTCCTCCCCCAGCCTCCTTCTGCTCTGCCTTTCTCCTCCTCTCCTTCAGAGAACTAATTCCTGGCTGACAACCAGACTCTCTGTGGTCACACAATACATCTTTTCATTCCTTCCAGCCTGTGAGGGACAGCCGATCCCTCCCAGCCCAGTCAGTGGAGGATATCCAAAAAGGCAAGAGGCTAGGGAAAGAGAGGGCTGGGTTCTGTCCTTGCCCTGTCATCCCCCACCACTCACTTGCCTCCAGACCTCTGGCCCCACCTCCTTTCTGGCCATACCCCTCACCCTGCAGAAAGGTGCAGACCTAGCACCTCTTTGCAGCAGGCCTCAGGAATATAGATGCCTCCTACGAGAACCCATGTGCAGGCACAAGCTCAGACAAGGGGCCTTTGTGTCTTCCCACCTGCTGCCCTCCAGAGCACATTCCATTCTTAAGTGGCAGCTGAAAGAGGAACCTTGGCTGGTTGACACAGGATATTACGAATGCCCTCTCGCACCCTGTCCCCATTCAAACTCCAGCTTCCTGTACAGGTGTGGCTTCAGGTGTGGCTTCCTACAGGTGGCCCAAACCTGCTCTTCACTGCACTACCCAAAGCAGACAAAGAGAAGAGGAACCAAATCGGATCCTCCAAAGTACAGGGAAAGAGAGGCCACTGCATAGAGTTTAAGAATTTAAGACTCCAGAGGAGAATGAGTGCTAGCATTCCCCACCAGCACCTTGTCCTGACCTTTGCACCAAAGAGGAAGCCTCCGCAGAACCATCTGGGAGGAAGGGACTCATCTAGGTCAAGGGAGTAAAGAGCTTATTCCTCTGAGATGAGGCTTCAGATTCTACCCCCCATTTCCTGCATCACCCCTTGAGGAATCAGGCTCCTCTACTCTCTTTTGGCTCTGGAAGCTGAACCTGGAGCTAAAAGGAACAAAAGGTGCGCTCATTGCTTGACTGTAAAAGGAAACGAAGGGTGCTCACTGTTGACTGTAAACTGACAACCCCAGCCACCACCCCCCAACTCCAACTCTTCCAGCTTGACCAGTGAGAGCCTGGGATGACCCTGAGTCTGTCTCTCATTGTTATCCACAGGGTGCAAAGCCACATCCACCTGGAAAGCATTTCTTTGTCCAGTTTAAAAACCAAAATCCCATGGGTGGCAGCTGTGTAGTGTGTGCGCTTTATTCAGCATCATACACTCAGCTCCCTTTGGAGGAGGGGAATCTGGCCGGTCAGTTTTGCATGATTGCCAATTTCTCTTTCCTACCACCAGGGCCTTATGCCCAGGAATGAAGGTGATGTTCTTGCAGATTTCTACTTCAACAAGCAAAACTAAAAACGGTGCATGCCTGCAGACCCAGCTACCTGGGAGGCTAAGGTGGGAGGATTGCTTGAGCCCAGTAGTTTGAGGCAAGCCTAGGCAACATAGTGAAACCTTGTCTCTAAAAAATAAAAATTAAAAATGCTCTGCTAGAAACACACACACACGCACACACACACACACACACACACACACACACACACACACACACACAGAATAGAACACCTGAAAGCATCTTCCTTTCCAAGCCCAGTAAACACACACTACTCACAGAGCTGGTGATTTCGGGTCTTTGTAGATTCTCTCCCCACTTTCCCACCCAGGAGGGAACCACCCACACTATGGTACTCTCCTCACGCCCTGGGAAGGACCCGAAAAAGCACTTACTCCCTTTTTCCAACCACTTTGTCACTTTTAGCCAAGGGGAAGAGCAACAGCCCATCTGGCTCACTGGTCCCTGTTTCCTGGTGGGTGGTGGTATCACCTGTCCCACTTCCACATCTTCTTGGAGCACCTGCATTTGGGGGCAGCAAGTTCTCCAGATTCTTATCTCCTGCATTCAGAGTGGGCAACTTTGCCTCTTCTTCTCATCCCACGGCATAAGCCCCTGAGGCAGGGCCCAGGGCTTTACCCGGTCTCCCTGCAGCTGTATGTGCAGGACCCGCCTGTGAACTTCACAGTGACCCTCAGCAAGCTCTACATGGACCCTGATGAGCATGTAGTTTCCCAGGCCTAGATGCAGGTGGGAAGCATCAAACTCAGCCTGAGATGGGAGTCCTGAAGAGGCTGCACACAAGACGAAATGCACACCTGCTTTCCGTTCAACTACCGGCTCTGCACGAATGCTGTCCTGAAGGTCAGTGGCAGTAAATCTTAAGCCTCCAACTGTCTTCCATGCTAAAAACCATGGTCAGCGTATTCCAGGGACCTATTTCTCATGTCGGCTGGTCCAATAAACAGCACTCAGACAGATGCCAGCTACGTAATTTGTGGGGCCCAGTGTAAAGTAAAAATGTAGGGCCCTTTATTCAAAAAGCAGGGAAAAGGGCCATTAAAGGCACTGAAAGACAAAGGACTTTGTATTTTAAAAGCTTTGTCCTCTCTTTCATAGCCTCTTACCTTGTTGTGCTGTTATTTTAATTTGCTACTTATTATTGTCCTAGGTAAAAAATGTTAAGCATGCTATGGAAGCCACGTAGTACACCTCACAAAAGCTTTGTGCGAATGGGGTGACGAGGTTCCACAGACACTCATATGACATGTCTCTCCCCCACGCGTGCATCTTCACTGTCCCATCAGATTCAAAGACAAAATTATTCAGAATTTCAGGATAACAACCGCACAGGTCACATGCCCAAAGCCAGCCTTGGTTAGTGAAGAGAATCTGGATGTGCTGGGACAATTATGAAGGAGAATCAGTGAGGTGGGAAAATACCCAAATGTGTTTACAAAACAAGAGAGCCAAGGGCGGACTTGGGCTCCCTACCTTCCTCATCCTTTCTGGTTTAATGCTGGCTACCCTGGTAGTTGATTAACTGAGCTCCCCTGGGAACCAGGATTCCCAGGGTTCACATTCTAAAGGTCGTTCTCAGCTCTGGGCTCTATGCTCACTCACCCCGCTCAGGGATTCTGGGAGCTTGGTCTCCATCACTGTATGAGCCTTACTTACCCCGGGTGCTTCGGAGAGGAAACATGGAATAAGAACGGAGATGATGTTCTGCAGGACACCTTAGACTTTCATCCCACTCTCCTTCAATCTCATCTAAGAAATCCTGCTTGGGCCATCTTTGGAAGCAAACATTCAGATAAAGCATAAAACTCCACTCACCTTTCCTTCCTGAGTTACCCTGGCTCAAGGGCTTGTCGGTCACTGAACCTTGGGTGAGAGGGGAAACAAAAGCAGCCACTCAGAATGCATCGTGGTTGGTTTCTTTCAAAGAGTTGGCAAAACCTGATGTTATGAGCATATGGTCATGTATATATGTATTGTATACACATGTAAGGATATTATATACAATGTGAGTACATATACACATGTTGAGTGGGGTTTGTTTAACATCAATGTCACTGATAACCCAGCACTGTTGAGATGAACTATGATTTCCAGGTTCCCTGGTAACAGTCTTGACCACATTTTTACAAAATTCCACTTTCATATAACTCCGCTCTGTTGAACATTCCAGTATCTGCCCCTCACCTTTACTCCCCCAGCTCCCCAGCTTCTCACCATTTCCATGTTCGGAGCCATACTCAGTCAGCAAGTCCAACTGAAAAGAAACTCCCTTTTACTGCTAAGGCAGTGATTGACATCCCTTGCTGGTTAGGACAGGAAATCAGCAATTTTCCATCTGCATTAAGTAGAAAATTGTTGGCCCAATTGTACTGAAAGGGCCAAAATAGTCTAAGGCATGGAAACAATTTTCTAGAACACAGCCCGTTCCTCCAGGAGTGGGTAGCAGGTATGTTTGCCCAAGCATTTGCCCTGCAAATACTAGCGTGCTCTGTGCACCCACTCCTCCAGTCCTGACCCTGTGGCACCTGTCTTCTGCATGAGGTCCAGCCTCACACAGGCAGGGTACACCCAGTACATCCACAGAAGGGCATCTGTAGAGTCCCGTCAAAAGAAAGGAATCTATTTCCCTAATCCATGTCATACCCCTTCTCCATATACCAGTTTTAGGAGAACTCAAATATATTATCCTGCGTGGCTTGTTTCTAGTCGTTTGTTTGCTTTAAATGAAACTTTCCAGGTCATTTGAAAGGAGGGCTAATTCCTGTACCTCCCTACCCCAGCCCCAATTAAGGTTTCTAGTTTCCATGTAAACCACAAAGAAAGTAAACTTCCCTTTTCGACCTGCAAATTTGGGTTTCCTGATGTAGATTCTTAGAGCCCTTTCCACTTTCTTTTCTCCTTCATATAACAGAGCAAGTAGAAAAAGCTGTGATAGCAAGACTATTAGCCTTTGGAATTTCCCATAGGTTTTAGTGTAATGTTTTATACTTTGTTTGCACTTAAAATGAAAAATAAGTAAACCAATAAAACCCTATGCACACAGATATGAAGAAATACGAATCAGCTGATGGGTGGGACAGGCTTTTTTGAGAGATCTGAGCCACACAGTGACTTAAGGGAGTGACTCAGAGTCCTTTACTATCTGAATGGAGGTGGACACTGTAGGGTTTATAAAAATTCCTAATCCACAATCCCATGAAATGGACTTAAGCACAATTTCTCTGTGTTTATAAAGTTGGGAATAGAAAGGACTTAATTTTTGCTATGGACTAACCCAGTGGATCACTATAAAGCAATAGTTTTCTAACTTGTCTGATCATCAGGATCGCTTGAGAGACTTCATAAAAGCAAGAACCTCAGGCCACTCTCCAGACCTCCTGGATCAGAATATACAAGAGGGAGCCTCAATATCTGGGTTCTCTTTAATTTCCCAGACACTGCTGGTGATCAGTCAGATTTAAGGGCCACTGTTATTAAAATTTTCCATTTCTCTACATTACATTCTTCAGAGGTGGTGAGTACATGACACACAAGCCACTATTCTCCTCTCCTGCTCCCATGACAGACATCACTAATTGATAACCACAGACTTTGATGCTGAGCTCCCATGTGGTCTCAAAATCCATCTCAATAAAGCACTTCAAGAGCCACTAGCAATCAGAATCAGTACAAAAGCTAGTAACTTATATGCCACTGCAGCTCTATGAAGTTACAGCCAGTGCTTAGAAGGAGATCACTGAATCAAAAATCTAAACTCAAAATCAATAAATACACACACACGGCATACACTGTCATACCTTATCATCTGCTGACTTCTGAGCAAGCGTGTTAGAGTAGAATCCTCCCTGACCTAGAAAAAGGTTCATTACCACCACCAACCTTCTAAAGGGTCCCCCACAAGAAGCAGGAGACCAACCAATGGATTTCTCTCCAACCCTTTTCATTCTTCCCGCCCCTCCCAACAGTACCTGAACATACAGGAGTTTTATTCTGCACAGAAGAACCACTGATCGGCTTCCCATCCGGGGTGACACACCAGCAGTACCCAGTGTAAGTATGGCACTGCACCTGTTCAGGAAAGTGAAAGGGGAAGAAAACCATAAGTCTCGGTTGCAACATCAAGACTCGCCTCCTAGCCCTTTCAAAGCATCACCCATACAGCACTTTCCAGCCCTCATCCCCACATCTGTCTCCAGAGTGTCTCTCGTGAGTGGTCCAGTCAGTGAACAGCACTGGGTACATGTTTGCTGTGGGACTCCCATGCAAAGCACAGCAATTTACCCGCTTCTTTCTTATTCCTCTTCACACTTAATATCTGGCATCATACTGTGTTTTTCCTCTAATTTGTTTTCCCTAGCACTGGCATACACTCCCATCCAATGGTAAAAAAAATTTAACTACCACCCCCCACTTTTTTTGAGACACAGTTTCACTCTGTCGCCCAGGCTGGAGGGCAGTGGCATGATTTCAACTCACTGAAACCTCTGCCTCCTGGGTTCAAGCGATTCTCCTGCCTCAGCCTCCCAAGTAGATTGGATTACAAGCATGCACCACCACGCCTGGCTAATTTTTGTATTTTTAGTAGAGGCGGGTTTCGCCATGCTAGCCAGGCTGGTCTCAAACTCCTCACCTTAAGTGATCCGCCCGCCTCAGCCTCCCAAAGTGCCGGAATTACAGAAGTGAGTTACTGCGCTGGCCAAAAATACTAACCCTTGAACAATTTGGCAAGTACGAGTTGGAATGTTGCCATTGCAGATTGATATGACGCTTCTTTAACAAGCAGAGGCAACTGGTAAGCCTTTCTTCTCTGTCTAGCTTTTCCCAGCACCCATTCATAGATCAGCTTGCCTATTGATTTTGTGGCTCTCTTAAGATGAGGGCACACATGATGGGGTTAAGGCAAGGGCAAAACCTGCAGGTTTTATTTCTAGATGCCCCGCTGCACCACTGTGTGATCTTCCTCAAGCCTCCAAGATCAGATCTGCCTGCCTGCGAATAGCAAAAAGAAATGGGGCTTTTTGCATCCTTCAGGGAAGCTCTTCTTCCTCTTCTAGTAGCTGTCATCCTACCCAGCACCTCCCGCCCCACCCCACTATCCTTTTCCCACCTGCTTTCTATCTGGAGTTCCTAAACACACATTGAGACCTACTTCCCTGCTTAGAATCCTTCAGTGATTCACCTTGGGATCTAGGGTAGAGATTAAATTCATTGGCATGCACTCGAGGTCCTCCGTGACCTGCCCCATCTATCCTTGCAGCCTCATTTCATGCCCATGTCTCGGCACACACCCTTCACACTGGCCACAGAACCCTCTGATGCTCCTAAACACATTTGAGTTTCTTCTAATTCTAAGGCTTTGTTTGTTCCAGCTATTTCATTTGTCTGGAATGCCCTTCTCCAACCCATCTCCCACCCACTCCTGATCCCTCGCATTCCCCTCCTCCTTTGTGACACATCTCCTCAAAGCCTCCCCTGCCTCCTTCCTCTGATCCTTCACACACCCTAGGGCCCCCAAATTCAGAGCCCTTATCTCTGCGAGCTCTAGCTGTTGATTCATCCAGTCCATTCCCTCCTCTCGAGATTGTGACCTCAGAGACTGCATGCTAGTTATGTCTACATTCCCAGAATCTAACATAATGCCTGACACTCATTGTAGGTGATTGATGGGTTGAATAAAGGCATCCATTATCATATTTCCTCAATTCTTGGTCTCCATCAATTCTAAAAATGCAATGTCAATTTAAACAGCCCCACTATATTAAATGTAGATCTCCATTACAGGATGTGTGCCAATTGCAAAGATATTAAAGTGCGAAGAAAATGTGCCTCTTGAAATCAAGGACATATTGGAATCAAGGCTAGACAGTAATAGCATACAAATTGAGTGGTGAGGGATGGAAGGGAGCAGTGAGAGGAGAGATCCGACAGCCTGGGTGAAATCCAAAAGTTATCACAAAGGCAGAAAAACTACAGAAAGGCTTCTGCTCTCATGTGGGTACCAAAGACCGCCATTTCCCCCAAGACAAATTGTTTCACTATGGACCTACCAACAGAAATCAAGGATAAGACCAGACAGGGGGACCTTTGTTCCTACCAGGGAGGCACATGCTGTATAAATGAGGCATTTCCCGCAGCTCCTGCAGCTGAGAGCCTGCTTGGGTGTCTGATCAATGCCTTTACCCCAGTACCAGGTCCCACGCCCACTTCATCTCATGGCCATGGCTGCTACCCAAGATACTCATCCAAGAGCATATCTTGGGGTCAGGCCAAAACTATTTTCTGAGGAGCCTTAATGATGGAATGAAAAAAATCCAGACAGACCTGGATTTGAATCCTGGTCCAGCCAGTTATGAATCAGACACGTCACTCAGCTCTTTGAGCCCCATAACAATGTCAAACCTGAAGCTGAGGAAGTCCAGTGTTTGGCACTTAGCGAAGGCTGGATATGGACTGGCTGTGGTAAGGATAGCTCTCAGCTGTGCCAGAAACACCTGGCAAGCTGACCTTTTCAAAGGCCAGATCTCCTCTAGTAACCTCCACAGCCTTGGGTGGGAAATGCTGCTGGAAACGTGGAGTTGATCCCTGCAGATTCCATCCACCCTACAGGGGATATTTCCTAGCGACAGCTCCTCGCCAGTGGCAGCAATTTAATGGAGCCTGGCTGGCTGCTTTCTCCTCCCTGGCCAATAATCACCTCTGGGGAAACCCGTTTCAGGGGCTCAGTGGCCATGCTGACTCACTCCCAGGGCTCTTGACTCCCATGCCTCTGTCTGCATGAGGACTGCGCCCCCAGGACCATCACCCGAGGCCGTGCCTCTAGCCCGGTGCTGCACTGCGGGAGCCGGACGCTACAGTCAAGCAGGCTGCAGAGAACCGGCTGGTTCAAAAGCCACCTCCTCTCAAGCATACACAGAGTTCCAGCCAAGGCTGCTGGGGACAGAAGCAAATGAATGAGTAAGAGGCTGGGCCCAAAGCTTTGTTTCTGGTGATACAATCTGACCTCTGAGCTCAGAGGGTCCCAGGGGCCACATTCTCACTGAGTGTGCCCATTGTATCCCAGCAGGCACATGAACACTGTCTCCCACCCCCTGCAGCTGGCCCAGAGGCCCAAACACAGCTCCTTTCTCCCCATGGCCCTCAGCATTTTTCTCAGTGCAGGCTCCAAAGAACAGAGCCCAGATTACAAAATCCCAGGCAGGGAGCTCCTTCCAGTCCCCATAAAACTGAAATCCAATGAGGAATGGTTGCCATGTGCCTGTGAGGGCTGTGAGTTACACAACCATGGGCACACCTGCCGCAGGTGTGCTGCAGGGGTGGGGACAGCCATGGGTGAAAGGCACAGAAGACCCGAGCAAGGTCTCAGATGCAGGAGCTGAGGGAAGTGGCCAGTGAAAGCTCTTACTGAAGGAGCCCTGAGTGAATCAGCCCATGATTCCACAATGCGAGGTTGTTTCTAAGTTGTCTGGGGACTTTTCAAGATGACTTCCTGCGGAAAAAGAAGTTACATGGAGACAGTCTGCAGCTAGCCTTCTGGCACGTCCCAGCTCTGCCACTTGACTCCTTCTGCAGCCTTGAAAATCTTCTTAATCACATTAAGCCTCAGTCTATCTGCATCTTTTTAAAAAGGGAAGATAATCTTGAAAACAATGCCTATCTTCACTGTTAAGAGAATTAAATTTGATCGTGTAAATAAAGCACTTAGCTCACAGGGCAGGCGCCCAGTTAACTTTCAGCTATTTATTTTTATTATCATTGTGTTATATTTTAGCAAACTATCTGTACACTCAAAAAGGCCAGAGCCAGATTATCTGATGAGGACAAAAGAACATCCTATTCTGAGCAGCCTGAGGGGAAGTGGCAGCCTAAAGTCAGCAAAATGTTAGAAAAGGTTTGAGTGGAGGAAAGAGATGTTTGTTTTCATATAGAAATAGTTATATTGCCCACCGAGGAGAGAAACAATGTTTCTTGGAGAAAAGCAATCAGGGTATAAATTCTTTAGAATTGATGGTTTCTATATATACGGCCAAGATGTAGACTCTACCCGCCTTAGCTTCTTCCCTTGCAAATTTATCCTTTTAAATTAATAAGTAATACCCTTCCTTTTCCGTAAGAGCCTCAAGTTGGTCAACTCTCAGACTTAATGTATGGGCCAAGAGAATCCATGAGGCAATTGGCTACTCCAAATACCTTTCTATGCAGTTCTCAAAACTCAGGGTTGTTCTGGCCCGAAAGGTACAGATACAAACAGTGAAATCTTTTCCTGTCTCACTCTGAGGCATCCTAGGAAGGCTGAAGTGTCAACTGTCTTCCTTAAGGGACAAAAGTGTTTACTCCTCAACCTAAGTGAGGTTGCCTTCTGCTTATATTGTAACTGTACTGTAGAATGTAACTGGGGGGTGGGGCCTGGCGCGGTGGCTCATGCCTGTAATCCCAACACTTTGGGAGGCCAAGGCAGGCAGGTCACTAGAGATCAGGAGTTCGAGACCAGCCTGGCCAACATGGTGAAACTCTGTCTCTACTAAAACTACAAAAATTAGCAGGCATGATGGCAGATGCCTGTAATCCCAGCTACTCAGGAGGCCGAGGCAGGAGAATCGCTTAAACCCAGGAGATGGAGGTTGCGGTGAGCTGAGAATGAGCTACTACATTCTAGTCTGGGCGATAAAGTGAGACTCTGTCTGGGAAAAAAAACATTATAACTGGGGGTCCCAAAGGTCCTTTAAGGCAGTGTCTTCCTAGATAAGTAAGTTTCATCTCTGACTCATACACTTTAATATTTTTGGCAAGAGGCCCTTTACATAAACAGCCTAGTGGTATATTTCAGGCCAACCTCCATCCAAATAAAGACAGATCTGAAATTATTTTAAGCCTGCTAATCAACATTAACCCAAATTCTGAACACCTGGAAAGATGTGGGAGACTAGCACTCCCAACAAAGCAGGTGAGTGAATGATGAGCAGAGAAAACATCAGCTCCTGGCGGTAGAGCAAGTCAGGGAGCAAAGGGGAAGAAAGCACAGAGAGAAACGGAGCCGACAGATGAAGGACACATGCAGACAATTATCGCCT